GTCCTCGCTTGTCTTTCTCCTTTCCCTTTCCTTCGACCTCGCTCTCACCAGTGCTTCGGTGTCTCCTCACCCTCTGCCTGCCAGCCTCTCCCGAGGGGCGCCTACCACCCCCCATTTCACTTTGCTCCTACCCGTCCCCACCTTCCTCCATATTGTCATTCCCTCATCCTGATGCGGACCCCGGGGTTATCCCCCGCTGATGCCCTCGCCCGTCGGTCTCTTCTTGTTCGGCTCCCGGAGTCTCTGTCATCGCTGTGCTTATTTTTATATTGTCCCATTCCAGCTCTCCTCTGCCGCCGTGGCTTACGTCTGCTTCCTCATACCTTGTTTCGTTTTTAGTGCTACAGCTCTCCCATAGTTGTCCTCCAAGCTATTACGACAGAACTTACCCTACTTTAGAACCATATTGATCTATTAACGTTATTCAGACTCGATTTGTTCCTTTGCTTATGTTTTATTTAACTACCAGTTTAAAAGCACTATCCCTTTTTCTTTCCTGAGATACACTTCTTTAATCTTTTCTTAGCCTTTCCTAGCTGTAGTTTCTGGGATCCCTATTTTTATTCTGAAAGAACAATTGAACTATTTATTTGTTGCAAAGAGTTTCTAGTAGCAGGCAGGATGTGCAATTAGTATGTCTAACCACATGTTTGCATACTAGAGAGACGTAGAAGCACATCTGGCAGCATGCATTCAAGGAAAGTTGGATGTCCAGTTGTCTGGAAATGAATAGTCTCTAGTGACTGGTGTGTTGAATTTGCAGTGGAAATATTAATTGCAGTACAGTAGTTCACTGTAACTGTTGTGATTTTTCAGAATTATATTATTGGTGGGAACTTTAGTTTGTTTCATGTATGACGATTGTGCAGCATGTTGCTTTAAAATCCAATCGGGCAAAATGCCATGTAAAAGTATAGATAATGCTAGGGCCTTACAAGTTTATATTTGTGAATGTAATACTAAGAATTCAGCTGGAGGACAGTGTTGTATTGTACTTTTTTCATTATGGTTTGTACCATACCTGTGCGTATATGAAACTCATGAAAATTGTCCCTTTGTAAACAGTTCACAAATTAAAACCCTGCGTTTAATGCAGTTGCAGCAAAAAGGGAAGAGATATAGGAGAGAAGAGACCGCATCTAGAATGTGTAGTACAGCTGATATTGAAAAGGCAGGCAAGTCTTTAGGAGGGTTTTGGGTAAGATGGACCCTAACAAACAGATTTGAGGACAGCTTTCCAGCTCTAACGGGACCTGTTCCTTGTGTAGTGTTCTCACATTATTTTTCTCTTCCTAGAATGCCTAAGTCAAAGGAACTTGTATCTTCAAGCTCATCTGCCAGTGATTCAGATAGTGAAGTTGACAAAAAGGTGAACATTATATGTAGTTTATTACTACTGTATTAACTTTTATATTTCAGGCTGGAGGTAAGGAATTAGGTGAGCACTGTGTCACAACATACATGTCGTTCTGTATGATTTATCATATATTTCACCCAAACCCACCCCCCTTCTCGACCCCCACCTTCCTCAACAAATACAACAACTACAAAAAAGCCATCTCCCAGTCTTGGGGTTTGGGTGAATAGCATGCTTTTTGCCTTGTAGTAAACTTTTGTTCTTAAGTTGCATTTTGCTCTATTTAGGGTTTTCCATATGATGTATCTAACCACAGGCTTCCTGGAATTCTTTGATGCTTTGTGGCAAGTGATAGAAGGCTTCTGTATAAGCTGCTTCTGGTGGCAAGAATTTGGACTAATTTTGAGGACAAACATCACTCCCCAGCCCCCATTTTGATATCTGGGCTTACTTGTCCAAACCAAAAACCTCCACCTGCCCTGTCCTCCATGTCCACACTTGCTTATTTTGTGTGCATGTCCTTTTTCTCTGTTTCTTACAGATTCTTACGTTTACTGTAATACCATCTGCTAGTTTCTCACTTAAAAGATGAGCTGACCTAAATGTCGTTGAGTTGATAAATTTTAACATATGTTGACTGTTTTAAATGTATAAGTTGAGTGTTCCCTTTTATTTTTAATATTGAATTTATAAGTTTGCTTAGATGTACCAGTGTTATGAACAAAAACTGAAAAATCTAGTGAATTTATCCTTTTAAATGCTGGGTGGTAACGCAGGTGTCAGGTGTTTTAGTGTAGTATGTGAAGAGAGTCTGTATGCTTTACTGAATTGGTTGAAATGTGATTTGTTGCACTTTGCAAATTGGGCATTCTGTCAAATCTTAATGTAAGAGAAAATGATCAGGTGTTTTTTTTGGTAGGGAAATGTATTGTTGAAAAGACATAGTCTTAACAGGGCAGTGCCTTCCCCC